CCCCCCCTTCCCCCCGCGCCCTCCTTATAATCATCCTGTTCGATAAAGCCAAAATAACGTCGAGTCCGCAACTAGGCCAGTGGGGAAAGAGACACGTGTGCAGAGAGTCAGTTTATTGCCGCAGTCGAAAATAATACCATTGTGAAAGCTTCTCGTCACGACAGGATGTCGATGACCCGGTCGGAGCTGGGGCGGCAGTCGCCCGGCGCCTCCTCGCCGATGTCCACCGCGCCGCGCAGCAGTGCCAGGACGTCATCGGGCAGCCGCTCCTGGGTGTGGTGCACCGTCATGAGCACGTCGCCGGCGAGCACGGGCGCGCCGACGTGCAGCGCGTCGTCCAGGACGACGCCGACGGCCAGGTCGAGCGCCTGGTCCGGGCGGCAACGGCCCGCGCCCAGGCGCTGGCACGCGCGCGCGATGTCGAGGCCGGCGACGGCGCGCACGGCGCCCCCGCGCGGCGCCAGGACGGGCGTGGTGTGGGCCGCGCGCGGCAGCACGCGCCAGGGCTCCGCGCACACGGCCTCCGCGTCGGCCGCGGCCACGCCCTGGCGCTCCAGCATGCGGCGGAAGCAGCCCAGGGCGCTGCCGTCGTGCAGGGCGGCGCGGACGCGCTCGCGGCCCGCGGCCCGGTCGGCCGCACGCCCGCGCATGTGCAGCAGCTCGCCACCTGAGCGGGCAGAGAGGAGGGTCAGGCGGAGACGGCGGGGACGGCGACGGCCGCGCGGCCTCGACCACACTCACCCAGGACGCAGACGAGGTCCTCCAGGTCGCGGGGGCCCTGGCCGCGCAGGCAGCTCACGGCCTCGGCCACCTCCAGGGCGTTGCCGACGGCGCGGCCGATGGGCATGTCCATGCGCGTGAGGACGGCGGTAGTCGGCACGTCGAGCAGCGTGGCCACGTCGATCTGGACAGAATCAGACTTGGGTGTGCGGCGGGACTTCCCCCGGCGGCGCTACCCCGCGTGGCGCAGGGGCCGGGGGTATGTCGCCGCGCGTGGTGAGGTGAGGTGGGGTGGGGTGAGGTACTCACGATGGACCTCGCCAGCGTGGTGGCGGACTCCACGGTCTTGCACAGGGCGGCGCTGCCCACCTTGATGTCCATGACGAGAGCGCGCGTCCCCTCTGCGACCTTCTTCGACACGATAGAGGCTGCAAAATGTGAGGTAAGTAAACAAGATCAATGGCCAAAGAACCACAAACATGGTAACTGCTATATGTCAATGTGGCTTATTTAGTGAGATAAGACTTTGCCGCTTTTGAAAGCCGCACTGTAAGCATCACCGCGACACGCGTGTACTACTCACAGGTGATGAGCGGCACGCTGTCCACCGTGCCGGTGACGTCCCTCCGCTTGTAGAGCTCGCCGTCGGCGGGGGCCAGCCGGGCCGTGGGGCCCACGATGAAGCAGCCGGGGTCCTCGAGCGCGGCGTGCATCGCCTCCACCGGCTGCATCACCTTGTAGCCTGCCCGGGAACACCGGCGGGAAAATGGAAAGGAAAACGTAAAGCGATGTACGGTAAGCCCCCGTGCGAGCAGCCCCGCCGGCGCAGAGATTTTAAAGTCCGAAATTATTCCCGAAAAGTTGAAAACTTTTCCAGAAAAAATAGGGAAAAGGAAATATTAACTAAAAGAGGTAAAGTTTTCCAGAATTCCTGTCCCGGAAAATGAAAATCCTTACTCCCACATCCCTGTGCCATGGTGAAGCACGAGTGAAGCCCTTTCGGCGTTCGATCACTCACCTCTGATGCTCTCCAGCTTGTCCAGGGTGCCGCCGGTGAAGTCGAGGCCGCGTCCGGAGATCATGGGCACCTTGAGGCCGCAGGCGGCCAGGGCGGGCGCCAGCGGCAGCGACACCTTGTCGCCGACCCCGCCCGTGGAGTGCTTGTCCACGAGCAGGTCGCGCCACTCCTCGCCCCACTCCAGCTTGTCACCTGCCGACAAGAAGAGAATGTGGGGTGTTTTTTTTCTCTCTACAATTTTTTTTTATTCTGTTTTTTCCCCCCCTTTTCTTTCTTTTTTTTTTGTCGCAAACACGCGATAACCCACACATAGGGCGCGGCGGTGCTGTACCGACAGAGAAGACCGGAGGGCAGTGGCTGATGGTCCCCTTATCTCGTATACCTTTACCTTCGCCCCCCTCCCCGGACACACACACACACATACACACCTGAGTCCACCATGTGCCGGGTCAAGCTCGCCGTCTCCTCCGCGTCCAGGCCTTTCAGGAACATGGCCATCAGCATGGCTCCTGTGGGCAAAAATGCCAGACATAGGCGCTCTCAGCAGAATCGTTTCCTTTTTCTATATTTTTCAGGGAAATCTCTAAAGAAAAGGACAAAAATATTGTTTCCTACTACCAATACTACTACTACTGACCTATCTGTACGTCCGCAGCCTCCCCGCTCACCACCTTGGCCACCATGTCGCCCAGGTCCGCGTCGCTGAGCTTGACGCCGTCCCGCTTCTTCTTGATGAGCTCGTGGAAAGGCGTGGCCGACGACATGTTGGTCTGAAGTCCTCCTGGGCTCGAATGAAGCGAACGAACGGAACGAACCTCCCGTCAACAATACGACACGGCGCGCTACCCGAGCTAGGGCGCGCTGGCACCCTGACCTCGACGCGTCAGCCATAGGCGAGGCGAGCGGCCGCCGCCGCCGCCGCGAGGCGTACGTATTCCCCGACCACCCTAGCCGCGCCCACCTGGACAGCTTGAACGCTCAGATGGAAGTCAACAATATGGAACGTTCCGGAAAGTGAGGTTACTCGTCGCTGTCCATTGCATTACTAAGCCTACGACCGATCCTTGAAGTGCATACGGGTATTCCCAAGTGACGCTTCACTGACATGTGGCAGCGCAAGTATTGTGGGTAAGCTGATAGCCGGCGGACGATTGGCGTAAAACTGGGTTATTTTTCGCCTACGATCAATAGTTTTCCTTTGGGAGATATGGGAAATGGAAGACATACGCCACCATCAAAGTCCGCGTTTACACACGCCATGTAAGTTGTGAGTTCGGTGACGGTAACACTGAAAACACCGCACTGAGAACAGTACTACTCGTTCCACTTAGGGGTCGTCTAGAAAGTACATCCGTTTCTCAGATTCATTCGATCATAAGGCAAATTACTAGAGCACGGCGCCTGCGAGGGTCGGGGTAGGCCAACCCGCAGCACACGCATGCACTGCAGACAAGATGTTGCCTACCTATCAGGCGCTATGAGACCTTACATCGGCTGCATCGCTGAAATTTGCAATGTCGTAGAGGCAGATGGCGGACGCACTTTCCGGATGATCCCGCCACAATGAGGCCCGATGACTTAAGTGAAGGAACGGGTTTTATTCTATAGCACAAAACTAATGTTGTGTTTTACGTCTCGTTTGTTGTTGTTTTTCCTGCAGTCGCATTATCTAAATACCTACATGAAATATCCTTATTGCTTCATGCAATTTGAAGGAAATCAATGATTTAAAAAGGCGGATTCGTTACTACTCCTACCCGGGATATAAACGAGTGTATTCCCCTCCCTTCTCTGCGGTATTGTAATGTAGTAGAGCCGCGCTAAAGCGCGGCGAGCGCACTTTTGGTGCATCAAACCAAACGCAGGATAAATGAGCTCGAAAGATGTGCCAAAATGAAGGCCTTGCTTCCCGCGTGAAGTAGGGGATATAATGGCGGGTTTAACGGTAGTGACTAGTGTCACTGTAGTTCCTTCACGACCCACAGCAACAAAAGTAACAACTCATAAGTAAAGTAGCTGTCTTCCCTTTACCATCACGAGGCCCCTTTACCCTCGACCTATCCACCTCTTGCCCTTTACCTTATCGGCACGTTCGGGTCCTTGAAGGCGGCTGAGGCTGGGTGGGCCGCACTCGAGCCTGCTGGACGAGCGGAGGAGCTCGAGCAAAGCAACTCGTCGAGACGTGCCGCCGCTGCTGCCAACGCGACGCCGCACCACTGCACACTCGTCCATCGGGCTATCTCCTATATAGGCTGCGTTCGGAAAACTGCAATAGGTGCTGCTGGGCGTGGCGTGGCGGCGTGTCTGAGAAAGGGGAGAGCGGGGGGGCTTTTCTAGACGACTGCTGCTGCTGCTGCTGCTGCTGCGTGCGCTCGGCCGCGGCATCCCACTCGGGTACAGTTGTGTTGTGCGAGTCCGATGACTTCAAGTGTCTTGGTCTGACTCGTGCGCATCCACGAGTGTGGCCGTTATGTATAACAGAGAGAAAGAGAGAGAGAAAGGTTGGGGAGAGCCACAACGCTGCCCACTCTTCGATCTACTAGTACTTATCTACTACAGGGGAGAGGGGGAGGGGGTAATTCAGCCGTCGTGTCATGACCAGCTCGACAGATAAAGACCGGCTGGTGATAATGGCTGAATTAAAGTATCGAGGCTCAATGTGTTCGACGCTCTCAGGTCGTCCTGGAGAGGGGGGAAAAGGAGGGCGGGGGGGGGGGGGGACGGGCCTGACCTCGGTCAATCGATGCCTCCACACGACAGAGTCCGATCTGCGGCGGTCCGGTTACACTAAGTCCGATCTGTGGTGGTCCGGTTTCACAAATTCCGATCTAGAGCTCTACGGCCTCTACTGCAGTTTTGTTGTAGCATTCATTTTTTTTTTTCCATTTTCTCCACAGTATGTTCTACAAACTTTTAGAAACATAGCTTTTAATAATATTTTTCCTTCAACAATGTTGGTGAACATAAATATGTAAGACTGCGCTGCAGAGCGCAACGGATCGGACTTTGCTGTTAGGAGGTAAGCATTGAATTAAGCTTGGTTAGTGTTAAGTGTGGAGAAATTTGCCTTGAGGGGCACCATGTTTCACGACAACAGGTTCCCAAGAAAGACGAAAAGGAAGATAACAGTTTACAAGTAGTTTTAATTATCTCATTAATAGATACATTATTCTGATGATTTTAATTGGTTTTTCTTTTAGGATTCACTACAATCACTTTTTAAAAGTTTTAGGAAGATCAGAGTCTCCAGTTGGTTCTAATTTTCAGGATTCAATGTAATCTAGACAATAATATCATTAATTTGGCAACCTGATTTTGTAAATCTCAACAAATCAACTTCAGGTGAAAATCACACTAACCAGTGTCCACATATGTACACCCACATAATACAAATAATTTGTCAGATATAGCATCAATGAGAAGCTATGTACAGTTACTAAGTAAATAAATTTTATATAATAAAGTAATCAACAACATATTCAACAACAATCTAAATACCTGTTCACAAAGTATTGAAACAGAAATTATAAAATCAATTTCTAAAATGAATCAACTTTACAGAGAAATAACAGGTATCTGTAGAAAATTTTGCTGCCACAAGAGCTGCTTGAATCATTGGCGTGAAAACATTGTCAGATCTAGGTGCACTGAAATTGAAGCTAAGGTAAGCTGCATTTGTCACATTGAATAACAGACTAGCAGTATGACAGTGGCACCCAAAAAGTTTTATACACTCATGAACTTGCTTTCATCCAAATGAAAACACAAAACAAAATTGTGTAAAACCAACCCACATATACAAATGTATGTGACGCAAATACAGTGAATTTAAAGGGTAATTCATCTTATTTATACCATGCCTCTTAAAGTTTTGGTAAGGTAGGCATTTTATAAGATGGAAAATCAAAATTAATTTTAAGTAGTAAATATGAGAACCAAACAAATGTAAACATAAGTGATAAAAAGTATCACAATTTTAACATATTAGCAGTCATAAGAAAGTGCTCCAGAACCTACTGTGGTCAACAATTCTCCTAGTAGAAAATATTAGAAGAGATAGAAATTTGAACTGCTTTCATGTGATTATTGCTTTAGATATTTTATTCCCTGTTGAGATTTAAAAAGTAGAACCAAATACCTGTTTTTTGATAACAAAATTCAGTTATTTGATAAAACAATAGTAGTATACAGTTTTATTTGACCTCTACTTCACATTAATTTTAGAATTCAAATTCAAATCAGTGAAACAAAACAAAGGTCAGAATTATGCACCTGCATAAGCTCTTGTGAACCTTGATCTGCCAAACCACAATTACATCCGTAAAAGTTAGACAGCACCTCAAGACTTTTACTCAAGTACGAGGAGACTGATGAGACATAGAAAACAGACAAATCTATCACTCTACAGTACGGAAATGATTGGAAGCACACTTGAATTAGATACCTGACCAGGCAAAATTACCTACCTCATTACTATCTAACTATACAAGAACAATAGTCACCAACTATTTATAAATATAACATATTGCAATAAAACTGATGAGGTTCAATCAGAAACAAATAATTTATGACGACTGTACACATTCACACAGCAGATCATTCTGCATTTTGATTTATATTACAATTACACACTCATTCACTACATGATTCAGACTGGAATGTCAAACAAAATTCCTTAGACAATAATCTACAAGGTAAAAGGGCAGAACACATTCCTCATTACTTCTATAAGAACTGTGCATTTTAAATCCTTGCAAAGTGACCCAATTTCAATAACTTCATATTACTCTACGACTAGGGTCTTGTGTGATGCTAAAATGCCCATACCTTATGTCACATGAAGAATGCATTGGCAAATCACTGGGTCAGGGCTGATTCATACCAATTAAATACTGCAGGAACTGTAAGAGAACTCTATATAACATGAAAAAATGGGATACTTATAAAGGACTAATGAAAAGATTACATACTGAGACTGGGCTGGTGGAAGGCTTAACAAAATGGCTAGGGTCTTTACTGTGTACATAAGTGAAAGGCAAGTTTTTGGACAGTTGGTACTAAATCCAGAAACAAGTGGCCCCTGAATATTTTTGCATGATAAGAGATTGTGCCTTGGTCCCCTGCTCTGAGATAAAGGTTACTGTGAAAGTCTAAAACAAAGGCAATCACACCATATGAAAATCCAAAAGAGTAATGTTGTATGCAGTACGCTGTACTGTGTGTGACCAAAATTACCAGTTTGGCAAAAAGAAACATTTTTGTACAAAGCTTTAACAATGTACCGTAATTTGCAGTCACTTTCATTTTCAAGAAAAAAAAAACTGGAAGTGAAATCTGTTACCTAGAGATAACAGTGTCAACTCATAAAACAATTGAAAGCAAATTTACATTGTACATGTTTCTCTTCGGTAATTTGCTTGATTGCACATAAATAAAGCAGGGTGACTAATAATATAACATCATTCCTACTTCAATTAGAAGCACTTTGGAGAAAAAATTACAATCTGGCACACTCATCACACTCACAGGGGATGGGGACACATTTTTCACAGTAATAAGGGATATCTAAACTGCAAAACCCATATCACATTATTAAAACTAATACAGACCAGGTTACACATAAATGAATTTGAGTAAAGGGTACCAACCACTTTGATCACAAAATAAAGCCATCTTTACACAAGCAGCAGATAATCAAGTTTAATAATGACATTCAGGAGTTGAAAGCACAGGTCAAGTAGAATCAATCCATCACTTTCATCAACATACATAAAATGGAATGGCAAAGTCAAAACAACTGATTTATTGTGTATAGATCAGATCTGTTCAATAAATATAGAGCTGCAATTACTGTATTGATAAAATAATAGTGAAGAAGGCATTTTAAAAGATGGTAATAATCAACAATTAACAGGTCAAATCAAACAATTACATTCTCAAAATGCAGTGCTGCTTATCACTTTTAAATGTCCATAAAACCAAAATCTGAAAGCCACTTTCAGCAGGCAACACAGATGAAACAGCAATTACACATGGTAGCATATTCCACAGCCCACACAAAAGTGCACCCAATGTAAAGTAGAACTAAAACATAAATACCGAAACAGCCATTGCAGAGAAATGCAAGACTGTAACATCCTTTGTGACCATATTGAAGCTCTTGACAAGATAAACTCAGCAATTTTTTATTTAAAATATCTTTGATTTTACAATATGAGCAAAGTCTATATTTATCAAAGTGCTACACATTTAACAAGAAATATGCAACTAAACCAAGAAGATGAGTTTAAATCATCATAAGCTTCTTCCCTCTTCCCACTGGCAGATAAATGAAGTGCTTTCCAAGCAAAGATAATTTACAACACTATTTTTGTTACTAACAATGCTAGTAGGGAAAAGGGGGGTTTTATTTGTGACTATTCAACAAGCAACAAGACAATCTTCTTTGAGCATGGCCAAGTCTTTCTTAGCCGACTTCTGTTACTGGAAATAAACATAACTTAGCACCACCCAACGACTCAAATCCACTCAATTGGTCCAAGTCATAACATTCTTGAACAGGTATGTACACATTCACAAAATGAATTTAATACTATTTAACGAAAGAAAATCCAAACAATTTCAAAATTAAATGCACATAATAATTAACTATCACTCACAATCACTACAGTTCTTCAAAAGAATGTGACAGTGCACCGTACTGGTCTGCCATAACTTCCAACTAAGGAATTCAGCTTAAGAAAAAAAACCACCAATAACTACCCTGATAAAGTTCCAGGAAGCCACACAAAAACGATGGATGCTTCATGTAAGTACACTGTAGTAGCACAGTAAATGTTCCAACATACAATAGCACTCTGAACGATGAGGTGTTTATTATGCAACAACTTCAACATAATTTGCAGGATATAGACCTACACGCCCATCTTTCCGTCCTTTACACCAGCCTTGCTCATCTTCATCCTCTAACTTTTCAAATAGCTCACCTGAAATGAATTAAGGAAAATAAAGAACAACAATATTATTGAGATGTTCCACCTTCCAGCCACTTGGAAACAGTTCTCTGAACCTGTGCAGCTTACCTTGCTTGAAACTGAGCTCGTCAGACTCTGCGCCTTCATAGTCGTACAGAGCCTTGACAGGGACCCCCGGCTCTCCATTGTCTACAAGGGCCTCATTGCCCTCCTCATCCCATTCCTCCTCTTCAAAGGGATTAGCTTCTGCCCGCGGTGTGCCATTCCTGCAATAGACAAAATAATGCAATGATTTCTCAAATGGCCAAGTTTGAAAGCAGTGGGGTGCAAACACAAGGAACTGGCCACAGCATTTGGAGAAAAAAAAAGTACCAAACTGGCTGGTAGACTGCTTAACTTATAACACACAAGCTAAAAAGGGGGGATCATGGCACATTTCAGAACTGCATTTTCAATTACGAAAGCAATCAAATTTTCCAGTTTGAACTACAGATAGATATATAAAGGACAATGGCCCACAAAATACTATTACATCAAAGCAGAGTAATGGTATTGAGCAGAAAGGCATTATCTCATTGGTTGAATCTAGCAAGAAGGCATTTAAAGGCCTGCGTTTGAACTTTGATACTATGCACATATCTGTGGGACTGTGACTCTGGTAGCTTACCAGGACACTGTTCCAACAGCATCTTAAACCTACAAAGAAAAATCAAATTGGTTTGACACAGGCCCTTGCCTTGATGGAAGTAAGTACATAAAAACAGAACTGAAAGTTGCCATAAGTGCATTCAGTGTAATATAAGAACCACATTCTTGTGTGTCCAAATAAGAGTCAGGGCGAAATGAATTCTCACATTGAATGAGTTAAAACAATACATTAAATGCCCAAATCTGAAGGTGTTCAATTTAGAAGTAAAAATGGATCAGAGTCAAGAAGAAAGGGAACAGAACTGCAACCAATTAAGATTGATTGACTAACCCCAAAATGAGCTTAGTTGACTCAGTCCAATGACACAGCGTTGCAAATAGACTTACGTGATTGTTGGTGTCTTATTAGAACTATCTGTCTTATCATTATTAGGTGCTGAAGTAGGTGTTGTCGACGTTTTTGCATTGGAATTGTTTCCAGCTGATGGGGATGTCTTTCTTTCATCCGAAGTGACATCAGTTGTAATAACTCGACTAGCTGGCTTCTTGGCTGGAATTCTTTGATTGACCGGCGGGAACTCCTAAAGTATTAAAGGAATATTATTAGCAAATTTAAAATACAGATAGTAATTGAGATAGCACTTATTAGGCACTTATATTTACAAAGGATCAGAAGCACAGAATACATTACATGATCATTAAAAAATGAGGGAAGCAAACAAGACAAACATGTGTTTTTTTAGGGAAAAATGCAGAACCTGATGTGTTCATACAAACAAGTATGGTACACATTTACGGAACCTGATTAATAGCAGTATTGCTGTGCTTCAACAAAGTATGAAAAGTTGAATTTTTTAAATGTAGGTCTTAGAAGAATGCATGTAGGACAGGTTTGGAAAGATATGATAACTGTTCTCTTCTTACAAGTACAATCATGGCAGCTATTAAATTACAAAGCTCCTACAAAAACCAAGTTCAAATACTACATGTAATTTCTACTTATAATCGATCAATTGAAAGCAGCAAAATGTCTTAAAAAGACAACTCTACTTGATTTAAATGCATTACAATATCAGTTGGACAAGACTACGGTAGAAACAACAAAAGTTATCAAGGAGGAAGTTACATGCAGCAGCTCGTCCTCGCTGATGGGTCTCTGGTTGATGAGGATGATATTGTCTTTAGGTTTCCTTCCCAACCAACGCTGCGCAGTGATAAACATGAGGGAGCCACGGGGAAATTAATATGTAGGAAGTTGAATTAAACATCTCAAGGGAGGACCTAACAATGATTTTCTCATGGTATATAATCATTTGTGCACTAGAGCATGATTTTAATTTAGTAGGTAATTTGAAAATTACCTAAATGTACAGTAATATGAGTTTTAGAGATAGATAGAAATTTAAAGGAACTCTAGAAATCATGATCTTGTTGGACGAAAGATGTTAGATACTGTACTTGTCAGTTATCAATCAAACCAGGAGAGAGAAAGAACTTAGCAGATTAGTTAACTAAAAAAGGGATTTTTACATGCAAATCCTCGCTGACTGGCCGTTGATTGATGAGAGTTATGGAACTTGCCGGGAGGGTGTCCTTCAACTTTGCCTTGGCTATTTCCCGCAGTTCCTCTGTGTAGTCCTGAATACGGCACAGCAAAACGCCACGCCAAACAATACATGCAAGCCACGCAAAATTTTAGAGAAAAAACAACAACATGCAAACACAAAACATTAAAACTTAACAAAACAATGCAGGCAAAGTGAACTAGTGATCAAAACAAAATAAAATTGAACAAATAAAAAATGAAACCACAATACAGTAATTGGTAATTTAAAGTGATAAAAATGTAAGCAAATAACATTTGCAATTCAAGATTGATGAATTGAATTGATATAAGAGTAACATTTCAACATTACTTAACAGAACAGAGATAAAAAAAAAAAATTCCTTTTTTAAGAAAAGAGTAATGTAATTTACTGCATGCATTTATCACTAATTATGAAGAGGATTATATTTCAGGATTGTAAAATAAACAGTCAACAACTAAACCTATGGGACCAAAAAATATCAAATTTCAAATTTTTTCTGTTAACTTGATCACCATGAGTGTTCTTATTGCGACCAACAAGCTCCAGCTCACCAACAAATACACAGACATGGCCCATGAGACTAGAGATGCAAATTTGAGTCACAATCTTCAGCATTTAATTCATATAAATGAAGAATTTACAATGAACTGAGGTATTTTTGTGGGGCTAAATAATTGATGAATTCATCAAATAGGGTCTTCTCTGATTTACAATCCCAATTTGTTACTAAGATGCGAGCATGAAATTTTTCCTCAAGCATTGAAAATTGATGAACTTACCTCAAACTGTGGCCAGTTCATTGCCATATTAACACCATGATTGTTAGACCACCACTTCAGATCTTTCTCATAATCGGCATTATTAACTGTGTGATAAAATTCATCGTAAATCTGCGGTAGGCTGAAAAAACAAAATGGAACATCATTTCTCACATACAAGAGGTAAAAGGACAACGGAATGATTTGGCAATGTACAAAGAACTTACACAGGGTCATTAGAAATGTTCAGACATTTTTGCATAGAAAAGAGAACCTCTTTGAAAAACCGTAAGCGTTCTGCTTCCATTTCTTGGCACTTGCTAAATACTTCAGTCATTTCTTCTACATATTTTGGGTTATGGGCGTTAATTTCTTGCAGGGCCAGATCATATTTCTCCTTGCCTTTCAGAACATCCTCCTTAACTTTCTGCACTCTATCTTGCATTTTTTTGACCTGTACAGAAGATATAAGTTTTCATGGTAATGGTGACATGATCAGAATGTAGATTGATACTGGTTTCTGAATAAGATAACAGGCACAGGCAAGACAAAATAGAACATAATCTATTGAAAAATAAATAGAGATTGAAGGCGCACTGGTAATACTGCAGTAATCAGCATGCAAAGTGAGCTACAAGTTGCAAGGAGAAAGAACAGTGACAGAAGGATGGTTAAGTTTGTGAGCTGCAAGGACATCATTATACAACAGGACTGGAATGAGTACCACAGAAGTATGTCAATAGGTAACGCGAGAGATAAGATAAGCACACAAGACTATTGTCAGAGATAATGAAGTGAAGAACATGGTTGTCAATATTACTTTTAAATAAAAATTGCATCAAGGTACAAAGAAATTTACTTCTTGCAGTATAGCTGTAGAGGCAGAAATATAAGTAGTCAAGAAAGAGAGCTCTTAAATTACAAGGTTTGAAAGTTTAGTAATTTGAAAAAAGTTCTACTGTCCTTAACTATGTGCTGAGCGATTCATATGGTGACCATTGGTTGTGCTGATACTGCTTGAGGTATAGGTATTGCAAACAAATGGAAAGTAAATGTAAACTACGGGAAAACCCCCACTCACCAAGGCAGCACGCTGCAAGACACATAAAAAGAAGAAATCTTAGATGTACAGTAAAAAATCCAAATAGCCTACACAAAAATAATATGTACCAAAGCTCATTAGGTCCTCCTATGTCACACACACAAAAAATAAGTCTAATGTGACATGCGTCATGCAACTATTGAATGAAACTGTCAATCAATATATAGGATAGTCGGCAGAAAAAGACCAATAATCTGACAAAATATGTGAACTACAGTAAAAAAGATATACAAAAATAAATATATAGATTGAGAGGAAGGATTTAACTAGTTTAACTTAGAACATGCGTGGCTTAAAAGTACATGATTGTTTGTACCTGGTCTGGTGATAACGAGCTATCTCCTGTAGCATTTCGTTCCTGGTTAGCCGCGGATTTTTCTGTCTTACATGCTGTGTGGTAATCTGCTTTTGCTTTATTGACCTTCTGAAGTAACTTAGCCCAGGGTTTCTGTGCTTTCTTAAATTGATCTTCCATTTCTTTCCTTTCTTTAATTTGAATCATTGACTGAAATGGAGAGACATAGTTATAGAGTATTCCCAACTAATTTAAAAAATTCCATGACATGCCATGTTAGTACAGTACCTTGTGATAGCTATCTTTCTGCCATGTTTTGACTTGTGTTATTACATCATTACAGAGGTTGTCTTTGACTTTAATATGAAGATCACACAATCTGTCTGCTTCTACAAGGACTCCCTTCCAGGCAGCTTCTGTTGTACCATATTCAGGGCCTGCGCAACACAAGGAAAGTCATAACAAAGAAAAGCCAAAACACTCCACTTAAAAATATAGTATCAGAATCAAACTCACCCTTTTCAATGAGGTCATTCCATTTTTTGCTCCAACTTTTAAGAGATTTTGCGTAAGTTTTTTCAATGTCTGAACGTTCTTGTACTAGAGTAATGAGCTCATTGCAAAGCTTATATCCGTCCTCTATACGCTTTGTTGTCCTCTTGTAGTTCCCTGGCTCCCAAAAGGAGTCTGAGCTCGCTATGAGCATGTTATCATCACTGTGGTGCGACATGGTGGGGCTGTCTTGGGCGCCTTCACTCCACCTGGAAGATGGATACAATCAAGAATTTTAGAGAAAGATTTACAGTACTGTATATTGATGTGGGGCAGTGGGGAGAACAGGGAGAAAATCACGTCTCGAAACACCCTAAAAGCTTGCAAGAGAAACGGTACAGAGACTCGGTAATAAGAGGTGTCTCATTTATTTACCTATTTCACTTTCTGAAAGATCCCAACCATATATGGTCCTCCTAGATTAGGCCATGAGATTCTCTGGTCGGACGATTTTAGCCGATAAGATAAGGGGCGGCATGGGGGTTTCGCTAGGGGCATGTGCAAAGTGAGCTGAGCCTGTGCCCATCCAATGAGAATCAAGCAGAAAGTGATTCCGTCTTCTGCAGTCATCCCTACGCGACCCCCCTAAAACTACCGAAAGCAAACAAGGACAGCAGGTTCGAGCAGTTCCCCTTCCCTCCCTCCTCCCGGTGCAAAGAGCTGCCCTTGGCGGCCAAATGACGCACCCCGACTGGGCGAAGGACAGGGACCACTGGCTCTGGCTCCTCTGGGCGGCCGTGAAGTCCTGCGGCCTCGGCAGCGTGGAGGTGAGGGTGCCGTTCGCCATGGCAAGAGCGTGTCGAGCAGAGCAGAGCACTGTGCTGCAGCCGAGCACTAGAGGGGCGAGACCGAGACGCGACGCGACGCGACCAGGCCGACAGCTAGCTGGGTCACTACTGGCGGCGCCCGCGGCACTAAAGGACCGTGAGCCCGCCACAGAGATAAGCCCGCCATTCAATCAACAGCACCGGGTAATCAGGTAGCGCCCCAGATGAACTGTCGACTGTCGTCGCCGTCCACAACACGCATTCCTATTTTACAAAAAAAAAATAAAAAAAAAAAAAAAAAATGACGGTTTGGCAGCGTTGTTCCTTTTAAAACTATAAAGAGGTATGGCCTTGGAAATGGCTTGCAGTTTGCAGTTTACGGTGACCTAGCCGGGTGACCCGGTCCCAGTGGTGGTGGTGGTGGTTGCCGGGCCGGGGCCGAGGCCAGGGGTCTCCTCTCTCGGCAGGGACAGTAGTGCGGGGGGGGGGGAGGCATTGCATAAGCGCGCTCTATAGCTGTATTGGGATTTTGACAGGACGTGGCGGGACGTGGCGGGGCGGGGCGTGGTGCGGCGGCACACCTCCAAGCCAAGCAGCTCTAGCCAGCAGCCCACCACACACACGGCCCACACGGCATACGAACGCGTTCTCAAGACACACACGCCGTGTCGTTTCCTTGCGTGCTCGCGTGGGAAAAGTTAAATCTGACAAGGCCACCAGCCAGCAGAATGTCAAACCCGGCGCGGCGGCGGCGGGACGAGACACCACGAGAGACGTGCAACGTTTACTTTGATTCATTGCAAAAACATCGAACAAACATCTGAAAAAAAAATTATCCATATAATGTGTATCAACATTTTTGCCACACACATTTTACTTTAGACTGTGGTCCAGACTGTGGGAGGTGCAACTGTTCTAATAACCGGACTAGGTCCTATCTGCAGGACTATAGGTGCAAGAAGTCCCACACCCACACACGGCTCGCCACGTCCGCGCTTGTAAGACGGACACACCGTAAAAAATGTTTCTAGGTTTTTTTGACGAAAATGTTCAACTAAGTAATGGTTGAAAAGTTACGGTTTCAGATGGTAAAACTACAAAAAATGACGACACTATAAATCGACTTGTAATTCTTCCTCGACGTACAAATTTCGATACAAATTTACGATGATGGTTACAAATTTTCAGACATCGTCGTTTATGGAAATTTTAAATGACAAACAAAATATTAGTGTAATTTGACAAATATGTTTTTTTTCCAGTGGCAAACATCGCGTGGCCCACGCGAACCTTGATACGGCTCGAGCACCCATCTCGCGCACACAGCAGCTTTGCACTGCGCTGCCCACCACAGGACTTCTCTCGCCGTCCGCATCCTACTACTTAGCAGGCAATCGCAATCTGCAGCCAGCCGCCTCGGCAGTACAGACCGGGCAGCGCCGGGCAGTGACATGATATCGCACAACAACAAAAATGCACGAGGGAACACATCGTACAGCAATACAATAATAATTATTGTATCGTCACAGAGCGTCATCAAAGTGCACCGCACGCACCGTCGTGTGCGCAGGTGCATCCGGGAAAGGGAGGGGGAGGGCGGGGCAGGGTCGTACCGGAAACCGGAAAAGGTATAGAAAAAGGGGCGGCGGGTACGACTTTTCTTAAAAGTATATAA